CATTTTGTGGGGGAGGATTGGACCTATATTCCCCATCTTCGAACATAAAATAAGAAGAAATTTACGATGTGCAAAGTTTTGACAAAATCGATTATTCACTTCGGGAGTTATCGTGCGCAGACGACGCATTGACATTTTGCAAATTGACTCTAAATTCTCTGAAACGAATTTGGTCCAAAGAAAGATGGAGTCTAAAACCAATATTTCGATGGGGCACATTTTCACCGTATTACTATGTATACACCATCATTAGCCATAAGGCTGAGGCTAAAAAGTGTTTAAAACATGATTCGAAAAATATCCTTAAAACATTAGAAAAGGGTTGTCAATGACTCGAATCTAATGCCGAGGAAGATTCATATTAGGGATACGTAGTCGAGTGCGACTTTTAGACTTTTCGATTTTTGCCTCCGACCAAAAAGTCGATTTTTAGTCTTTTCGATTTTTGTCTTTGACTAAAAATTTGGACTTTTCGATCTGTCGATTTTGCAAAACCTGTTCAAAATCGATTTTCGACTTTTACCGACTTGCTCGAACTGTATTAAAATTTGCGAAAAATAATGGCTGGGATACGGAATATTGAAAATATGGTTTGACATGTTTTGTTGTATTCCATATTAGGTTTTGTGTTCAAAAAATGAAATAAACGCGCCAAGACCTTTGAAATATTGAAAATATGCTTTGACATTGAAAAAGGGATATATCAGTCAACGTTTAGACATAGCCCCAAACATAACTAGTTTAGGTATTTTTGAGTAGTTTGATTTCTTATTTGGAACCAAATCTCCCTACAAAAATGATTAATATCTGTCCATATTATGGTAGCCCCCCAATATTCGGTGTTTTGGGAATTCTGAATGAGTTTTTCAACCGAATATACTGTAATTTGGAACTTTGGGTTCTTATCTGGTACGAAATCTCTACACTAAAAATTATTACTGTTTTTTCACTTCTTCTGGTAGCTCCCTGAAGAGTATCACTTTATTCCAATTTTGAGCGGAATCCTTTACTACAAAATTATCAACATCGGTCCACTTTCTGGGGTAGCTCCCATATAGCGGTTCCCCCAAATAACCGGAATATTGAAGATATATGACAAGTTCGATTGAATTGGCTGCAATTTAGTAAGTTGGGTTCTTATAGGGTATAAAATCTTTCAGTTAAAAATAATATATGCTGGTCCAGCTTTTTTTTGTAGTCCCATATAACGGTAACCCCAAATGTTCAATATTTGGAGTTTTTAGTGTATTTTTCAATCGAATTCGCTGTAAATTGGCATTTTGAATTCCTATTTGGTAACCAATCTCCCTACCGAATATTGTCAATTTTCGTCCGCTTTTGGATGTAGTTCCCATATAACCAACCCTTTTTATACCCTACACCACACTGTGGTACAGGGTATTATGTGTTTGTGCACATGTATGTAACAGACAAAAGGAAACGAGATAGACACATGGTTCCTTTTGAATATGCATAGAATCACTTTCTGAGTCTATATATGCATGTCCGTCCGTCCATGAATTTTTGTGAACAAAGTACAGGTCGCATTTATGATCCAATTTGGCCCAAGGACGAACCCTATTGAAATTGAGAGAAATCGGTTCAGATTTAGATATAGCTTCCATATATATTTTCGTCCGATTTAATGTAAATGGTGCACCAAAGTCCCTATATATCTTTAGATTTGCACGAAATTTGGCAAAGCGTAATGAATTAGGTCTAGAATGATGTGTGTTAAGTTTCCTGAAAATCGATTCAGATTTAGATATAGCTCCCACATATATTTTCCTCCGATTTTATGTAAATGGTTCACCAAAGTCCCTTTATATCTTTCTATTTGCACGAAATTTGGAATAGCGTACCGAATTTAGTCTAGAATGATGTGTGTTAAGCAGAGCTCCGATTTGCTCGATTTTACTCGCGAGTGAAAAATACTCCCGAGTGGGAGTAAGTAAAGAGTACGAGTTTTTTAGGGAGTATACTCTCCACTCTTTTATTTTGTTTGGGAGTGCTCGCGAGTACTCCTTGATGAAGAAAAATTGTGTGAGTCAAAATGTTCGAAATAGAGTAACACTGTTAAGTTTCTTGAAAATCAGTTTAGATTTATATACATATATTTTCGTCCGATTTAATGTAAATGGTTTACCCTATATTTCTCTCTATTTGAACGAAATTTGGCACAACGTAATGAATTAGAATGATGTGTGCCAAATTGAAATTTAGATACAGCTCCCACATATATTTTCGTCAGATTTTAGGTAAATAGTGCACCAAAGTCCCCGTACGTACATCGATTTTCACGAAATTTGGCTTATCGTTCTGAATTAAACCTAGAACGATGTGTGCTAAATTTCCTGAAAATCGGTTCAGATTTAGATATAGCTCCCATTATATATTCATCCGATTTTTGATAAATATGCCCCAAATTCCCTGTATATCCTTCGATTTGCACGAAATTTGGCATAGCGTACTGAATTAAGTCCAAAACGATGTGTGTTAAATTCCGTGAAAATCGGTTCAGATTTAGATATAGCTCCCATATATATTTTCGTCCAATTTTTGGTAAATAGTCTACCAAATTCCCTACATATCCTTCGATTTGTCCGAAATTTGGTATAGCGTACTGAATTAAGTCTAGACGATGTGTGTTAAGTTTCGTGAAAATCGGTTTAGATTTAGATATAGCTCCCATATATATTTTCGTTCGAGTTTAGGTAAATAGTGCACCAATGTCCCTACATATCCTTCGATTTGCACGAAATTTGGCACAGCGTAATGAATTAGGTCTAGAATGATGTGTGTTATGTTTCTTGAAAATCGGTTCAGATTTAGATATAGCTCCCATATATATTTTCGTTCGATATTAGGTAAATAGTACACCAAAGTCCGTGTACGTTCATCGATTTTCACGAAATTTGGCATAATGTACTGAATTAAGCCCAGAACGATGTGTGCTAAATTTCGAAAATCGGTTCAGATTTAGGTATAGCTCCCATATATATTTTCGTCCTATTTAATGTAAATGGTTTACCAAAGTCCCTTAATATCTTTCGATTTGCACGAAATTTGGCACAGGGTAATGAATTAGGCCTAGAATTATGTGTGTTAAGTTTCGTGAAAATCGGTTCGATTTAATTTTTAATTTTGCACGAAATTTGACATAGCGTTTTGAATTGAGTTTAGAATGATGTGTGTAAAGTTTTCTGAAAATTGTACGATTTTAAGACCCAAAGTTAGGTCGATTGCCACACAATTTTGCACAACGTACTAAAGTTTGTGTAACATAACAAGTGTCAAGTTTTGCTGAAACCAGTTCGGATTTATTTTTAGCTCCCATATATATTTTCTTCCGATTTTAAATAAATGGAGCACCAAAGACACAATGTTGGGCCAATTGACATAATATTTTGCACAACGTACTTAAAATAGTTTAGCTAAACGTGTGTCATGTTTCATATAGCTCCCATATAGTTTCGTCCGATTTTAATTAGGACCCAAAATATGTCCATTAGGAACAAAACGTGCATCGATTAGTCTAAATTAGTTTATGATCTAAGACGATTCATATTTAGATAAAGGTCACATATTTAGTTCATCCAATTTCATGTTAATGGCCCTTCTGTTAGGATGCATCTTTTTAATACACCCATAGTGGTGAAGGGTATCATATAGTCGGCTCCGTCCGACTTTACTGCTTTCCTTACTGGTTTATATTACAATTATATGAGGTTGTCCCCATATAACCATATTCAAACATAGTATGTGAGATATTCTCAACTTGTCAGTTTATGCCTTATTTAGGCATCGCCCTCGATTTCCTAATTTTCATACCTAAGTTAATCAATAATGTTCCCCGATTATAGGGGATATTTCCTAAACTTGATGATCGCTTGGAAAAATCGTCTGTATAGGTCCACATTTTGGTATATCCCATTATTCATTAAATTAGAATGTAGTTTGTTATTAGCAAATAAATATGGTGGAAATTTTAGTAAATTTTCCATTAAAATGGCTGCAATTTAGTTTTCTGGTTGTCCAAGATATTATTGGAAAACATTGGTTGCATGGGTTCACATAATAACCACAATTTCCAAACTCATTCGCTGTAGTATGGTTCCACGTGGCGTTTAACTTCAATTTCAAGTAACTGTCAGTGTACCTATGGAGGAAGGCATTCGGCACGTTTGTTCATTTATTATTTTTGTCTTAGATTTGTAGTTTAAAAAATAAAAATTTAAATGTTTAAAAAATTGAACTCACCTTGCCCTGTGAATTTTGTCTTTATAATTGTTTTACCTAAATATATTCTTACGTCTTAATAACAAATTTCTTAGGAAAATATATTCGTATTTATATATGTATTTGTATTTTGTCCGAATTCAGAATAAAAGAAAAAAATAAAAAAACAAAAATTAGTTTCACCCGTGACAATGTTACATGTGAACATTGCCGTGACCAGGATTCGAACCTGGGTTACTACGGCCACAACGTAGGGTCCTAACCACTAGACGATCACGGCTACGTGGAACTTTGAAATAGTAGTGTCAAACAATCGTCATTAGTACGACTCCCATTCATACTATTCATATCAATAAAAAAAACAACGAAAGTGATTATAAATAGTAATATAATTTATTTCATTTATTTTAATCGCATACATGTCTTATAACATGAAAATACACAATTTCTATAATGACAGCACAAAAATAAGCACAACTGTGTATGGCTATAAATTATGATTCCAAAATATTAAAAAAAAACATAATAAGAAACACTCTGTTACATGCGGCTTCTGTCTTAACTATGCGAAAATAATAACCTTTATTTTGCTATTCTCCAATAAGGATGTCCCATGAACAAGGTGAAAAACAATATTTTCCCATTATTTGTATACCCAAAATTCCCATGAACATTTTCCCCATCAAGGGACAAAACATTACATTTTGAAGTAAAAGGTACCCTTACAACAACAACCCTTAACATTGCGGTGTTAACATCCTTTAATAATCTCCCACTATTAATGCCGCACCGGATAAAAGCACTGTATCACTGCTTTCGGTTGTTGCCACATCAAATTCACACAGCAACCGTTCCCTCTTGGCATTGGTGTAGACAGGCAATAGTGTAGTGTTGCCACTACTCGTATTTCCTCTCGTTGTTACTGTACGTAAATCCTGAACAGCCACTTTTTCATCTTTTTCTTTAAATGTTATTAGAAATTCGGGGGATTGTTCATTTTCTGTTGCTGTATCGTTGCTGCTGTTGTTGTTGGTGATTATTAATTTACCATAACTGAAAGCAGCGCCATTTACCTGTGGTGATTAGAAGAGAAAAAAGAAATATATGACGTATTAGTACAGACAAGAACACATATGATGGTGAGAGAGAAATTGGAATAGATTAAAATGAGTGTAAATAGCTAGCCATATTGTTGGGCGTTGTTACACTAATAACGATATGTTTACCATGAAGATACATTTCAGGCAGAAAACAACTAGAAGCAATGAGGTTAAAACGGTTGAAGGAAAAGATTAAACAAAAATGCATATATATATATAAACGTGTAAACACAAAAGTAACATGTGTCCGTAAAGTACCAACATACATAAATCATGTCGTATGCACCACAAATTGACAAAATATATGAGAATAAGGGCTAGTGTTACAACAATTAAATGAAATGTTCATTTGTAAAAAAAAAATTATATGAAATGTTCATTTGTAAAGAAATATCAGAGTCAGATTCGAATTTGGACGCCATTTTACAGCACTAATTCGTTCAACGATTTTCACTATAAAAGTAAAAAAAAACATGTATTTATATGAATGTTTCCGAAATACCTCGATCAATGGTATAATTATTACCAGGTAGGCCCGAGCAATTTAAAAATTACAATTTATTCATACTGTGTTATGCCAAAGTAATATACAAAATGTTTGACTGTGTGTGTAATGTTTTGAAAAATATAACGAAATATATTCGAAAAACGATTTGAACGATGAATTTTTGAAAAGAAAACCTGACATTTCATTAATTTTTCACGTTTTTTTAGTAAAATGTTAAAAAAATGTCAAGTGAACAAAACGACTTGTTGCATTTGTTTTCATTAATTCTGGCATTATTGCCCCTACGGTAGAGGTGTATTTTCTCCTTTCTGACAAAAGCTACCTTAACTTGTATAATAATTCCATGGAAAAGATTATGTTATTCTCGCGGCTTTTCCTTAGCAATAAACATAGGCTTTCAATTATTTTCCATAAATGATGCCAAATATGTATGTAAAACCTGTAAGGAAAGTAAAAAGTCGGAATGGGCCGACTATATGATCCCCTTCACCACTTTGGGTTATTTGTATCCTAACAGACGTCGCTCTTCGAAGGTACATTGACATGAAATTGAACGAACATATATATATATGAACCGACTACAACAACCTATGCTAAATTTCAAATTGGAAGTTTGGTGCACCATTTACCTAAAATCAGACGAAAATATATATGGAAGATATATCTAAATATGAACCGATTTTCACGAAATTTAACACACAATATCTTAGTCATAAATCAGTATGCTATGCCAAATTTCGTAAAAATCGAAAAAATATGGGGACTTCCGTGCACCATTTATATAAAATTGGACGAAAATATATATGGGAGCTATGTGTAAATTTGAACCGATTTTTCTCAATTTCAATAGGGTTTATAAATGCGTCCTGTACTTTGTTTACAATTTAACATCAACAGACGGACGGACCGACAGACATGCATAAATCGACTCAGAAAGGGATTCTATGCATATTCTCAAAAGGAACCATGGGTCTATAAAAATGTCAGATTATTTTTCAATAATAATGCAATTAACCAGTGAAAAATAAGAGGAAATTTATTTTTGATGACATGAATTTTGAACCAATTAAATGGGAAAATCAATAACCAGAGATTATTTATCCGAGGAAATTTACATGTGTTTTCGTATGCAATATTTTATTGTACCATCATGTGGTTCAATTAAGCGGGGAAACCAATTAACCGTTGGGTCAATTAACCGAAAAATACTGTATATGTATTGGTTGGTGAATTGGTCTACTGGGGGTTCGTAGTGGCGTTCCCCAAGGATCTGTTTCAGGTCCTCTTATGCTTATAATCTACTTGAACGACCTGTTTAAAAAATTGGGTGTGTGTCCCGTTTGCCTTTGCGGATGAACTGCAGTTAGTATTTAAGGGGGATAGTCGTTTTGCTACTGTGTTGCAGTCACAAATAGATTTAGTGATGGCGTTGTTGTGTGATTGGATGCATAGTAATTCGGGTTAATCCACTTAAAAGTAAAGCTCTATTGTTTTCTATTGTATTGCTGGTGCTATTATTGAGTATGGGGAGCTTCAATGTCTTGGTGTTATTTTAGATAACAAACTTTCGTTTAGGCAACATATTAAACGGGTAGTGTCAAGAGTTAATTGGTCTTTAAGATCACTCTATGGAACTCATTTATCTTTGCCACTTATTGTCAATGAGCCGTTAGTAAGGGCTCTTGTCCTCGCTTCGATTTAATATTGTTTTGAGATCTACTCAGGTACGACGCAATGCCACTTGAATTTGGTGCACCTGTCGTTGAACAGTGCTGTGCGCTACATATATGGTCTTAATAGCCTATGTTATATTTCGCCAATGTGTAAATTTCTGGGCTGTTCGATTCGATCATTTTTAAATTGTCGGTTGATGCTTTTGTTTTACAACTTCATTCCTTGTTATAGTACTTCGGTTGTACAATAATTTACCACCTACATAAAAAATATTTTGTGTTTTCAATAGTAATTTTTTACGCATTTTTCCTAATATTTTGCTCTGTTCCCTTAGTCCTGATTTAGATTAGGTGAGTTTACTTGCGGCAATTATCGTCCTCTTTAGAACTTGCTTCATGCGACTATTCAAGGTAATTCGGTTTCAAAAATATATATTTTTTGACATTTCGGATTGCTATTTCAAATTAATGACACTACAAACAAAATACACAAAACGAATTGCCAGAAAATTACCGGTACGATAAATTTTTTTTTTTAAATTTCTATTCCCCTTGCCCCTCTCTCCAGCAGACAAAGACTTGCCGCAATTAAACTCGCCTAATCTAAATTGGGACTAACAGCAATCAGTATTTCTGAGATTGTTTTTCATTTGTTTATTTAAAGTAAACTCTCAAAGTTTTAATTTTAGTCTACCCTACAATTTTTGACTATGTATTTATAGAAAGATAGTTTTGTATTTTTTTTTGTTTTTTTTATATTTAAAAATAGTTTTAATATTATTCATGCTACGTGGAGTAGTTTTATCTTTTAAGGTAAAGTTAATTGTGTACGATGTATATTAAATGAAAATGATTTACATATTTGTTGTTTTTTGTAATATATATATTTTTTTATTATCCACCCAAAAAATCGTTTGTAAACATTAAGTAATTACATACATATAGCAGATATAAAATACATAAAACAACCCTCATGTAAATACTACACACCAACAAAATACAACTCTGTTGCTTTAAATCCACCTTCTGGCAATCTCTTACATTTCTCACACAAACACATCTAATCTATTACGTTATCTGTCAAATCTGTACCGTGATGTCAATCAAAAACAAAAAAAATTAACAAAAAGCAGACAATACACAGAGAAAGGAGAATTTTAAAAGAATACTTTCAATTAAACAGTATTATTGAATTTACAAATTAATTAGTGGAGGACAACAGCAACAAAATAGCAGAGTGGCATTTTATGGCGAAAATGGGGAAGGTAAGCAAAACTAACAGTGAACGACGGTGGAGAGTCAGTCGGAACAACAATGAGAACGCCGAGACAGAAATGTGTGCGAGAAGAAAAAAACGCATCACAGCGACCAAACAAATTACGAGGAATAAAAATTATAACCATTGTATAGGAACCATTGTATAGGAATATTGAATCAGTAATTCACAGTCCCTCAGAGTTTGCAAAGCCCTTTCATAACATCCTATCCCTTTGTGTACTTACCCTCAGTGGTTTCACCTTCAATTGCACCTGTAAATCACTGGCGCCGTCATTCCGCTGTTGATTATATGCCATAGTAGTAGACGAGTTCGTCTGTATGGCGCTGGATATCATTTGTAGATTTTTACATGATTTTTGTTGTTTATGCGAATTGATTAGTTTCAGCGATGAAATTAATGTCTGACAATTGTACACGGTACTGAGATCAATTTCATCAATGAAATCTAAATGTTGGGTGGTGCGATAGCGTGCCTCTGTTGATATTGCACGATGCATAAACGCTTTGATGTAATCCAATGCTGTAGAGGGTCCTGACCATATTCGTTGCCATTCGAGGGGTACCTTTGTGAGGGGAATTGTAATGTTTAAGGTTACTGATTCCTGTCGATGTTTTCCTGTCAACTTACTTGATTCAAGGCGAGTATGTTTAATGTTTTTCCAGAATTGCTGTTTCGATTTGGCTGTCTTTCTTTTGTTGCATTATATGCTTCACTTAGTGTTTTGTGTATTATCTGATATCCTTGACCACCGGTTTTTAATTCACTGCAGAGGAATACAATCCAAGGTTTAGATGACTTTTGGTCGTCACTTAATTCCTTTGCTGTTGCATCAATTGAACAATTCTGAAAAACAATAGATATGATTTGATATTTCCTTATTGTAAATAAAAATTTAGATGAATTGATATAATTCAAAGAGATTGAGGCTAATATCCTATTTAAGCTTTGGTCGTGTATTGTTTTGTAATTTTTAATAAAGTATTTCTATGGGATCTGATTACAACGACATAATTTTTTCTTGATGAAATGCATATTTCCATATGGGCCTTCAATTTTTCGCTGAACTACTTTTATTTTCCCATGCTTTTTAAAATTCACTAAGACATTATGGGTATCAAATGTTGAATTGCTGATTTGCAAAAATGATATTTTTTTATCGAAGAAGGTTAATCTATTCTATTAAAAAGAAGATGTTGTGGCTTAGCAGGCATGTGTCCATAGAAAGTCTTAAATCCCCAGCAGAAGTTCCGCTGTGCAAAAAAACCTATACTATTTCGTTTCCGACAGTGGGGTCTACCATCCGAAATGTTCTGAGTCTCACTAGGCCACCAACAGTCACCTCAGACAGCTAAAACAGCAAAAAGTCTCTCGAGGATGTCTTAGGAGAATGTCTAAAATCCGAGGAAGGCCAACCACCCACTATTTCGTTTCCACGCCAGTGGGATCTACGATACGCGTCTAACTCGGTCAACTACTTTCACCTTAGCCTATTGTGTTAAAACTGTACGACTGTTACAACAATAATTATTCTATTTAAAATAATATTCTGTCCATAGGAGGAATACTTACATCCTGAAACATTTTTCCACAGGGGAAAGTTTTAAATATCCTCTGATTTTAAAATGCAATGAAAAATACAAGGTCCTTCCCGGAAATACAAGGGTCGTTGGTCTCTGTCTGTTGCAATCACTCTAGCCTTTAAACGAATTGATATAGATCGCCAAAATGTTGCATAGGGTTGTTTCCTGTCTGCAGCCAGATCATGTTCATGTTCGGCCAATGTTTAGGCATAGCTCCCATATAAAATTTCGGTATTTTGGGAAGTTTGGATATGTTTTTTAAACGAAAGAGTTATAATGTGACACTTTGTGTTCTTATTGGGTACCAAATCGCCACACTAAAAATTATAGATATAGGTCCACTTTTTCGATAATGGAATGTAATGGTTGTAAGTTATTTGAAATTCCTATCTGCTATGAAATCTCTCCACTAAAATTTATTAATAACGGTCCACTTTTTCGGGTAGTGCCCATATAAAGGTACACCCAAATTTTCGGTATATGGGAGTTTTAAGCTATCTTTCTAACCGAACTCGCTGTAATTTGGCACTTTATATTACTATTGCGTACCAAATCTCTACCCGAAAAATTATAAATATTGATCAACTTTTTCGAGTAGTCACCATGTAAAGGTACGTCAAAAAATGCGGTGTTTTGGGGAGTTTAAAACGTTCTTCAAGCGAAATGATTGTAATTTGATATTTGGGATTCCTGTTTGCTATGAAATCACTCCTCTAAAATTTATTAATATTGGCCCATTGGTCTCTCAGGATTTCGGAAATTTGGGGTTTTTAGGTGTGTTTTTTCAACCGAATTTGGTACCGAAATGTTACTACAAAAAATTATCAATATCGGTTCGGTTCGAAAAAGAATTATATGGGTTCACAATTAGGCATCGCCCCTCTTACGAAACCTCCCGTTTTTTGGTGAACTGACTTCAAGGTTCTGGAGTCTCCAGTAGTTACATGATATCAGAGGAAATCATTGTTAACATAGGTTCATTAATGTCTAATGTCCCATGTCTAAAGGTCCCACGCATGTCAAGCAACTTTCTGTATATCTATTGTAGAGATCTTTTTTATTTATTATTTTCTAAAAACCAACAGAGAAGACGGATAGAAGCATAAAGCCATTCAATTTACGAATAACATTTTCTCTATTGCAAAAATACAATTGTTTTAGGGAACAAATCCTTTTGTAGAGTCATGTACGCCTTTGAGGATAGGAAATCTCAGAAGGTTTTAGGCATAATTTTACCATTTGTCCGTTATGTCAAAAAATACACCTCCTATACACCTCTAAGAAAAAGGATTTTTATTTTTGTAATAAATAATTTAATAATTTTCCTATCTCTAATAATTTCTAGGAATGTAGTATTGAACATGGATCATGTCGTCTGTTTTTAATCTATACCGGAATTCAGATGTAATGCAACAATTGAATAATTTTCTTCTATAGGGATTGTTTTGATTATGTTATTTTTCATTAATTTATAATTTTTGAAATTTATATAGCACAACTTTTTATTGAATAATTAACGCATTTCAATTTGTTATTACGGTTGTGAATACATAACTTATCGTTAATGTACTTCTTTCTCTTGTTCTCTTTTCAGAAAGTAATGTGTTAACAATTATTATATTTTTATTTAAAAATGAATGGAACTTGCATGTGGATGTGTGTGTGTTTGTGGAAAATTGGCATAATTAATTTTAAATCTTGAGAATATTGGAAATTTATGAGTGCTATGGAATATGAAAGCTGTGTCAGAAGAAATTTTGAAAACAGTGGATATACCAAATTTGGCAAGTCCTACTTAATGAAATTTAAAATAATAAGGATTCATATGTTAGAAGAAGTAGTCAAAAGCAATCATTAAAAACCGATTCTAGTTGATGTACAAAATGATTATTTCGAAACGTCATTGCATAGTTGCTATACCGCCGGTACGTTCATGACAATGTTGGATGTGTTATCAGAAATTTGAAAACTCGTTTAATCAATTTAAGAAATTCGCTTTTCCGGTATTTCTTTTAATCTGCAAAGCACTAAGAAATCTATTTTATATCCATATAAATTGTGGGAACACGAATTTTTATACCCTCCAGCATGAGGTGGACATTCAAAATATGTAAATCAATGATATGGGATTTTTCATAATAATTGCTTTGGACATAAGTTGACGGCTAATACAAACTGCTGTCACAGTAAATGGTATGTAATTGAGATACGAAGCCGTTCCTGCAGGAATATTTAATTTCGATGTTTTTGCAACCAATTCCATTTGTAAAGCACAAAGAAGTCGATTTTATACTCATATACATTTTTGGAACGCGAATTTTTATACCCTCCTCCATAGGGTGGACATTCAAAATACCTAAATCAATTATATGAGAACCTAAAATTCTAAATTACAGTCAATTTGGATGAAGAACTTCCTAACCACCACACAATACCGAAATTTAGGTGGTGCTATTGTATGGGGGATACCATAAAAAGTGGTCCAATTGTAGTAATTTTTGGTAGGAAGATTTTTTTTTATTTAAAATAAATAACAACAATTTAAGTTGAAAATATGAAAAAATGGAGGTACCATTACGTGGATCGACCTATATTTTCTATATTTACAATACCAAACATCCTAGGAGCACTGTCTACACAAAAAAGCTCTACCTTAAATATTGAGAGCCCTATCAAGATTTCAACAGACGGAAATGACAAAATCGCACGAGGGTATACAAACTTTGCAGATTGAATGTTAAATTTAATTGTTTGAGAGCATGAAAAATTGTCAACGATATCGATTCTACACATACTTCACTGCCTGGCAAACGATTTATTACCATGAATACCACAATCCAGTGGTGCTCATAATACTTGTATTGGTATTTGTATGTTACTCTCCCGCCTATGCTAAACAAATGGTAAATCTAAATTGAGAGAATACGTGTGGTTTGTTGTCACGAAAACGTAAAGGGCTGAGCAAAACTGCCTTAATCTCTTCAATATTATATCAAAATCATATATTTATAGTATTTTAAACATAATAGAGAGAGTAAGGAATTTTTGCTATACACTATATGATCGGAAACATAATCTAAAACAGACTGAGGATATAATTATATTCCACTTGTAAAGAATTTCTGCCAGTATATCATGCCGTTTCAAGTTTCTCATATATATTTTATATACGAATATATTTTCTACATATAAATTTAATACTTACCTGTGCCAATTTTCTCCACAATGCCAATATCGGTTTTATTTGCTTCTCCAATTGTTGATAATTCTGTGAATTCTCATCATCTCCACCGTCCATATTGCCACCATAATACGACACACGTAATTCTTTTAATATTTCCATGCCATAATCAATTTCACGGCTAGCATTTGATTTCTTTGATAGTTTAAATAACTCCGGAGCATCTTGAGCCGGCAATTTGGACAAAGCATTTATATAGTCTGACCATTGTGATGATGTTGGTATAATAATGTTATCATCGAATGGTGACCAACGTGAACTCAACGAATCGTTTTTGAAAAATTGTTGTAGATAATTTTGTAAAACTTTTAAATCTCGAACGTTATTGATGCGACCACCAAAGGCAACATTTTCATTAAGTTTTTGCATAATCGACCAATCAACACGTCCTCCCATTGTTGTGGCATCAAGCCAGCGAACAATTTGTAATGCTGCCTTAAGATCTGCTTCGCCGAATTCGTATTTTTGTGACCAACCTTGGGGTATAAAACGACGACGTTCTTGTAACACGGATAACAGTAAAAATAGCACCACACGTATTTTCATTAATTTTGGCTCTTTCAAAATGTTACGATCCTGTTCCATTATGGCGTAGTTTTGTAAAATTTTCTTACATTTCTGTCGTATACCCAATGGGTATTCATACAGAACTTTTATGAATTTATACATAACTGCTTCACTAAAACCCTGGGTCGATTCACATATTAACCACAAACGAAAATCTTGCGATTTTTTCATTTCACCATATTCCCGTTCAAGTTCAATTAACCAATCCGGTACCAAATGGACATTTTTTACACAAACCCATTTACCCAATTCAGCCATTTGACGTATGACATCGATGGTTTTCCTTTCCATACATTTACCAATCGATAACTCTTCATATTTATCTTTGCCCTTGAGGCGTAGGGCTACGCTTAATATTTCCGAGGCTGGATCATTTTCGGTTTGTGTTATCATGAGAATTGGTTTAGCCGATGAACTCTCCTCAACCAATTGTTCGATGGTCGGCTGTTGTATAGATTCAATGGATAATCCCAAAATTTCCTCTGATGTTAGTTTCATGTAGTGGGTGACTAGATCAGGACGTAGTATTAAGGCCAGTAAAAGTTTTTCGAAATTGGAAATTGTTGTAACTGAAAGGAACAAATTCCAAAATTTAGAAATGCATTATATAAAACACTTGCAGAGTTATGTAAGTACCTGGAACTTCTTGGGTCTGCCCATTCATAAATTGTCGCCACAAATTGGAATTGTGCAATTGTAGCTTCTCTTCCATTTCAGGTTTTTGCTTTAGCAAAATATTCAATTTCATGGTTGCTTCCTTGCCAAATGTATCGGCAAATTGCAAACGTCCAGCACTACTTATTCCACTACCATCAGCTCCAGACATAAAGTTTGTAACAAATAATTCCCATTCTTCATCTTTTATACGATCACGATATGCAGTCCGACATATAAATAAGGCCAGTGACAAGTGGCGATCTTTGGGTATGGAACGAGCCAAATATTGAAAGGTGCCCTTTATCAATTGGCCATAGAACTCCTTTTCCATTTGAGGAGAGCTTCTGCCTCCAATGTCATGTAACTCCAAAGCACTAAGGAACAGCTTAATGAACACCAATGACGATAATTCATAATTGGAGGATAGGTTAATATAGAACATCGATGCCTTATTACAAAGTTCCTTTAATTGGGTATAATCGGCCAATAGCGTTTCCTTGACTTCAGAACTTTCCTTAAGCGATTTATCAATGACAATACTACTCTCTTTAACCTCATTGAGAGTTTTTAATAGCTTCTCGTTTTTCAAAATATCACCCTGGGCATGTGATAATTCCTCCAGCAGCTTATCTTCCAATTCAATGCGTTGTTTCAACAAAACTCCTTCGTTTTTCAAAAGTTCAACACGTTTCTGTTCCAAACTTGGATTTTTCATAATAATTGCCTTGGACATCAACTGATCGCTAAGACCCACTGCCGTCACGGTAAATGGTATGCAATTGAGATACGATGCTGTTTCTGCAGGAATATTTAATTTCGATGTTTTTGCCACCAAAACCAATTGAAATTGTTCATGCAAATCAACCAATTTTGTACCAACTTCTATTTGACGTTTATTGAATTTCATATAAACTTTGTTGGCCAGCAATTGCATCAAAGGTGGCCTCAGCTCTTGACAATCTTCAACAATGAAAATTTTACCAAATCTTATTGCCAATTCTAAATTATAGCTTAATTTTTGATTATTTTGTGATATTATTTCGTATGGCTTTTCTTGAGATTTTAAATATTCATCCAACCAATTTACAGCGGTTTCTGTGGGATCTATCAGCAGCGGTATGGGATATGCGCCAAATGGCAGCTGTAACATTTGTCTTAACAGGGCTGCATTTTGTATGATTTGTGCATCTCTTGCCAAACCCATACTTTCCCATATAATTTGTTCTTGTTCCGTTAGAAGGGTCTTCTCCAAGTCAAAGCCAGGTTTTAATTGTAATTCGGCAATCAATTTTTGTAGGGCAGAGCTGAAATTAATTTTGTGATTGGGACAATAGCAAATATGTATTAACAATCTTGGGTCTAGAGAAGACAAAATGTAATGTAAATGTTCTTTAAAAAATATTGTTAAAAAAATCGGCCGATAGTCCTTGAAAAATATTCACTGAAAATTTAAATAAAACTGATATCATATTTTTTAATAATTTTTTTTAAATAAATTTAAGCTTGTGAAAATCCCTAAAAAATATTTTACATTATTTAAAAAATGCTTGACAAAATATTTTCTTACAAACTCCAAACTTGTGATATACCTTGAAATTTTTTAAGAAATCCAAGGTTATAATTCTCCTTGATTCTTTTAAATCCAAGATTGTGATTGTCCTTGAAAAAAATATTTTTTAATCCAAGATTGAGATAGACCCTAAAACATTTTTTTTTTAAATCTAAGATTATGACTTTTTTAAATCCAAGTTTGTGATTGTCCTTGAAAAAATATTTTTTAATCCAAGATTGAGATAGACCTTAAAAAATATTTTTTGAAAAAATATTCTTTTTTAAAAATCCAAGATTGTTATAGTCCTTGAAAAAAATATTTTAAAAATCCATGATTGTTATAGTCTTTGATTTTTTTTAATTCAGGATTGTTATAGTCCTTGAAATATGATTTTTTTAATTGACATGAGATAGTCCTTCAAAAAATCAAAAATTGATAGTCGTTGACAAACTATTTTTTTAATTAAAGATTGATAGTCCTTGAAAAATTATTTTTTAAAAAAATCCAAGGCTGTGTTAGTCCTTGAAAAAATATTTTTATGCCCTTCACCAATGGTTCCTTTTGAGAATATGCATAGAATCACTTTCTGAGTCGATTTATGCATGTCCGTCTCTTGATGTTAAGTTGTAAACAAAGTACAAGTCACATTTATAATCCGATTTGGATGAAATTTGGCACAGCTCATTCATTTGGCCCAAGGACGAACCCTATTGAAATTGGTGAAAATGGGTTCAGATTTAGATATAACTCCCATATATATTTTCTTCCGATTTAATGTTTATGGTGTACCAAAGTAACTATATATCTTTTGATTTGCACGACATTTGGTACAGCCTACTGAATTAAGTCTAGAACGATGTGTGTTAAATTTCGTGAAAACCAGTTCAGATTTAGATATAGCTTTCATATACATTTTCGTCCGATTTTAGCTTAATGGTGCGCCAAAGTACCTATGTATCTTTTTATTTTACACGAAATTTGTCATAACGTACTGAATGGAGTCTATAATGATGAGTGTTAAGGTTGGTGAAAATCGGTTCAGATTTAGATATAGCTCCCATATATATTTTCGTCCGATTTTATGTAAATTGTGCACCAAAGTCCCTGAAAATCATTCGATTTGCACGAATTTTGACATAGCGTACTGAACTAAGACTAATATGGCGTGTGCTAAGTTTCGTGGAAATCGGTTCAGATTTAGTTAATATAAATTAATATCTGCCAAGTTTCCTTGAAATCGGTTCAGATATAGACATAGCATAGCTTCCATATATAATTTCGACTTATTCGTGTTAATTGTACACCAAATAATCAAGGATGTCTGATTGAGTTAAAATTTTAAACAGTGCAGCATAACGAATAGTTTGTGTCAAGTTTGCTTTACATCGATTTATAAAATGTAGCATAGGTTGCAGAATGACATGTGCAGGGATTGATGTTAGTCGATTCACATATAGATAAATATCACTTTTTGAAGTTCGTTCAATTTCATGTCAAAGTTCCTGCAAAATGGCGAAGTCTTTTAGGAGACATATGTAGAATATACCCAAAGTGGTAAAGGATATCATAAAGTAAAGGGTATCATCTACACTTGTGATAGTCCTTAAAAAATCGTTCTTCTGATAGTCATTCAAAAATAGACCTTGACAAAATATTAAAAAAAAATACACTCAGGGGTTAGTTCTTAGAAAAGACATTTTTGACAAATTGACGCTGATCTAACAATCCTTGAAAAATATTCCTAAAAATAAATCAAGGGTATTCTATAGTTATATAAACATCTAAAGATCTTCTGTAAAAATATGTTATAAGTCTTTACCCCCAATTCTCCACTTACCTCCTCTGTTTCAATGACAAGTGGGCAAAATAGTTCAAAGCCAATGCCATCATCAACGACTTGGTATCCAAAGTTTTAAATGATCCCTTGTATTCCTCCAATTGTATATTCCATGTTTGATATTCGGAACTTAATTGTTGAACTAATATTTCAGCAGCCTTCAGCGTATTGCGAGCCTCGTCTAGCTTCAATTCCAAAACCGCCGCTTCTTGTGTATATGCATTTAATTTAGCCGATAATTGCTTCACACGATTATCAACATCATCAAGACCAGTCATGAGCGACTGCATTTCTCCTTCGGCCACATCTAAATTACGCTGTAATTCCTTTTGTTCCCTTTCCAATGGTTTAATACTTTGTATAACTTTCGAATAACGTACACTTGCCTTAACCCAAGCGGCAAGAGGTGCTGCCGCCGCTGAAGCCCTCTTAGCATTTTTCATTTCAAATGATTCCGCTTTCGAGGCTAGTAGCTTTTCAACTGCTTCACAATTTTCTGGATTTATTCGTGCAGGATCTAGAGAGCGTATGTCCTCCTTAACACCACGTTTAGCCAAAAATGTTTTCATGCTATTCCATGAGGTGTCTCGAATACCCATTAAACGTAAGACACCTTCCAAAATATCACGTATAGTTTCCGGTGGTGCTCGTAGAGATCGTATTTCGGACAGAGCTTCAGATTTTATCTGACCCACAGCGTTACTTGCTTCAGCTAAAATTGGTTCAACTTCAGCCAATTCTTCTTGAATTTCTTTTTGGCGCTCCTTGAGTTTTTCACTACTTATTTGAGTTTGCTTCTTCAACTCCAGCATATTTGACTTCTGTTCATTGGCATTTTTCATTGTTGACGATATCATTTCGAGAGCTTCATTGGCTAGTTTACGTTTTTCAGCCAAGGCGGTTTCTTGTTGCGAGGCATTCGATTTGAGTGTATCGACAACAGCATGTGCTGCAGCTAGTTTATCAACACCGTGCTGGATAGAAATTGAAAGGAAAAAGTATACAAATATGGATTTGATAGACCTTGAATAATATTCTTAAGTTCAAGAGTTCTCATTGTTATTAGAAAAACGTTAAAAAACTCTAAACTTTACTCTTAAAAAGTGCACTCTTTTTACTCTGACTGTACTCTTGAATATAGTCCTAATAGTCCATGCTTAGGGCACTTATAGCCTTACGTCTATGGTACTTAAGTAACCAATAGGAGGTTGTACAGATCCTTCAATCGGTAGATTGGATGACTGTAAACCCCCTCGAGCATCGGCTATCTCATTCCATTCTATGTTATTGTGTCACGAAAATCATCCTTGCACTCATGAACCGCTGCTGACTATCGACATATATAGCTGTTTTTGCCGGCTGTTAGTGTTTTGACTATCTCAGCAGCTTTCGTGATTGCAAGGATTTCTGCCCAAATGCCGAATGTCGTTATAGTTGTTATGAGAGGGAGTATAGTCACTGATGTGAGTACTCCTTTCTAGAAGGTTAACAACGACTTCCAGGCATCCGTTATCCGGAGCCTCAGGGCAAATCTTGCAGCCTGGAATTTAACCGGAAAATCCAGTGGTTGTAGATTCAGGATTGTATTCAAGGCTGCCTGTGGTGCGCTTCTTAGCGCAAGGTTAAAAGCTATTTATTGCCCATACCAGCTTCGGGTAGCTTCTCCTCTTCATAGGTTCGAAGCGTATGCCGATGTGCACATCGCACTGGTCCATACAACCAGGGAAGTGGGTGATGATAGAAGATCAATAGTCTCTCTGGCAGAGTTATTCCACGTTTCGTCGCTTCGCTTAATACTACCTATAGATTTTGGATCTTTAGATATTTACTCCTTCGATTGACTCGCTATGGCACCCCCCAAGACTCACGTCTAGCCTTCTTGATTTTTGTATTAATCTATTGAATTGTTATCTGTAAACGTCTTAATCTGTACTAAATTTCGTCCTACTAGCTTTATTATAGCAGCTTTCCTCAAGGATGTCAGATTTTTTGAGCATAATACTGGCTTAGATTTCCTCATCGTTCATAGTTTTCCTTTCCGAGGCCTATACGACCAAGGGCTGTGGATGCTGTTTTAGCTTTAAAGTTATCCCAGTTTGTCTTCCGAGGATTTCTATAAGATTTTTGTTTTCTTCGGGAGGTGGAATCTGGAAAAGTATCACCCTATGGTCCGAGAAGGAACATTTCTTAAATAGGACTATATATAGTCTATCTATATTATTCTTGAACATCATGCATATGACACTGATAGCTTCTAAAATGTATTCTTACAAATCTACAGGTCTGATTCTTACAAATCTACAGGTCTAAACTCTTCTAAAAATTGATATTCCTGAAAATCTGCTGTTTGTTACTTACCTGTAATTTTTCCAATCTCTTGCTGATTTCCTGTGACATATTACCATAAATATAATAATAGGATTTTATTAATTGATAAAATCTCAAAGGGGCTTGATGGCCAAAAACACTATCCAATATTTCCGAAAAATATGAAGAAACCGGAATTTTTTCCTTGCCACGTTGACTTCCCATGACCGATAATTCACTTAAAGTTTCCACATATTTTTTCGGTAACATATTCAAGGTTTCATTTGACATTGTTCTTATGTACAGCATTTCCATATTACGATAAAGGGCTGGATATTTTTGAAAATATTCATCAGTATTCACGTTTGATGGATCTAAACAAATTATCAAATGTAAATTTTCTCGGGCTCCTATAATTGAAAATGAAAATGTTATCAATTAAAATTGTTCTTCCTTTTTTCAATTGCGACAACCATTGATCATACTTACTTTTCATAAAATATGAACCCAATGATTCTTGATAGCCCTCCAATTGCGCGGAATGTTTCAACGAGCTTGCTATCGACTCTAAATCATCACCAAATAAATCCAATATTTCACTATCTTCCAGTATGGCTTCAATGGGCTTCATTATGTCCGGCACGTACGTTAACCAACAATGCTCGATGACCAAACAGGTACATTGATTCTCCAAAGATGCCATTTGCATTGCCTATACCCGAATGGACACAAGCGAGTGTTTTGGTGGGGAAAATGGAAACAAATCATTGTTATATGGCTTTCAATACAATTGAGTATGACCAAACAACCATCCGACGACCGACCGACCGGCCATCATCATTGTTTACTTTACTCCTCGGTACTTACCAATTTCAAATCATTGTAGAAATCTATTAGACCGTAATTGCAACCGCCCTGTAGCATTTGAACTTTAGCCTGTTGCATGGTCGCCGCAGCATATACCGAATCCATTTGTCGACTGCCAGCTTCACCCAACAATAGAATGTGGCTACTATTTCGCGCCAATATACGTGCTATTTTTGCTGTTTGTTCCAGCATCTCCTTTGTTGTGGGTACATCAATGATAAAACTTTCAGAGTCTATGCGAAAAGAATGGCATTGTTTGCGGGGAAGGAGAGAGGAGCAAGGGAGGGGGAGGTAGAAAGAAAATTACGTTACATTGTTGTTAAAGGCTTTGGCATTTTTGTGAGTGTCTTATTTTTGAAAGGCGTTTTTAGGTCAGTCATTTTGTATGTATGTATGTTTCTGCGTGTATGTATGTGTGCTATTTACTTACTGCATATGGTAACTTGTTTTTGTACTTCATCCAACCATTCATCATGCTGCAGAGCTTGCAATTCCACATTGTGTTTGCTCGATTTCGGTACGAAGAAAATTTTCTGAAAAAAAAATCGGGCACACATTTGTTTTAAAGATTTAAAATTTAAACAATTAAATTTAAATTGATATTTTCCCGATTTTCTAACACTGTTTGATTTATATTTACGGAAAATTGAATATTTGGACTTAAAAATATATATTTTTAAAAATCTATGCTTTAGAGCCATTAGAACAGCAAAGGCCCTTCAGACTGGAGGACTAAAACCAGAGATCATACACTGCATGTATGTAACGATTGTTGCCTTATATGGTGGCAAGGGGTCAACAAGCGCACACTGCTGGCTAATATGAGTAGGGTACAGCGATCGGCGTACATCCTGAATCTCCAATCATTGGATTCCAAGCTACAAGATGTGCTTTGAGATTCCGGGAAACGGATGTGTGGAATTCGCTGCTCTTTGGCCTCGCTATTATCCTTAACTCAACGTCAGTTTGTGACTTTTTAGAAAGGAGCACTCAAATCACTGATTATCAGTGCTCCCTCTTATAAAGACTTTGACGACATTAGAGTATAGATTAGATTCCTAGTGGGGAATCCTGGACAAGTGGCGCCTCACCTCTGGCCGGTCTGTCGACAGGTCGAAAATGGTGGAAGGTACTGGCGAAGACGTTCACTTAGCCCCACATAACTAATATAAACTTAACGACCACGAACGCGGCTGAGATAGTCAAAACGCTTACTGCCGATAATATAGGACAGTTGACTCTATATATGCCGATAATCAGGCTGCATTTAAGGCATGTCTAAAAAACAATTTTTTACACTCTATCTCTCCTTTTTCAACTTTCCTTTACTACTTTCTTTTCGGATATCCAGAATGAGCACAATGGACAAATGCCTCATTGAACGGCTTCAAATGGAAGCCGTACATCCTTTAACCTAACCTAAGCTCCTTCAGAAATAAACTTAAACAATTGGCTCTTCTTGAATTAAAAAATTTACGCTCCTAGTACTGTCACTCCTTAAAAAAGTATGAGTAGTTTTCTAGCAAACAATTAACACTTCTGATAAAACTTGACATAAAAATCCTTTACAATATATTTTGAAATCCTTTAATAAATTATTTCCAAATCCACACTTAAAATGGTCGTTAGAAATGTCACGCTAAAATTTTAACATTTGTGTGTCAATAAATATATTCCACAAAAAATTTACTTACATCTTTGCCGGCAATTTTCTTCAGTGAATGCCTTAAAATTGTCTCAAATTTATCTGCATCATCTTCGCAAACCAAACGATCCTTAAACATTGAAACCAATTCACAATACAAAGCCTGTGTGTGACCAAAAAGGAAATGGAAAATTTAATTAAAAAAATATATTTGATGAATAAATCGATTTTTGTTGCAGCAGCAGCAATCAATGCCGCCAACAAAAGCGAGATATAAATTAGAAATTAAAATACGTCGTTACCTCATTGAATGAATTTTCGGGGTAGAATTTTAGATTTGTCAATGTTTTTATAATAAATTTCGGTGAAAATTGATAGTGACTATTGGAAAGTGCAGCAGCAGTGCCACCACCTGTCTCAGATGCCTTTCCGCTGGTGCCTCTTGTTTGTCCAAAGGATAATTGTAACTGCAATGAAGAAAATATATATACACACACTAACACAAATGTCTTAAGTTTATATTTTATTCCCCTTATTGAGGGAAACGAACACCACTGTCATTGGCAATACAAACCTTTGCATAAAAATCCATTAAACCCTCCGAAATGTATTGCACATTTTGTAGATTTAAGCCTTTGAAGTGTGCACCCGGCACACCATCACCATAGCCGCGGCCCAAAAGTAAATGTTCAAGATGCCTTTGTATTACGGCCAACATATCCTGTTGGCTGGGATAACCAACATGCAGCATGTGATTTATAGCCAAATAACGCGGTGCAATTTTCACTAAACTTGCATTAGCTGTCGCAGCTGTTGTCGTTTGCTGCTGTGAAATGGAACCACATATTTGTAAACCACTAACATTTATCCATTCCAAATTGCTATTGCCAGTACCACTACTACCACCACCACCGCCGCCGCCAGTACCACTCGAACCCTTGTTACTTGCATTTGCTGTAGACGTATTGCTGCCGCCACTATTGTTCCTTGCAACATTTAGGCCCGAATTCGAGCCGTTATCATTGTAAAAGCCTTGTCGCTGCACTAACTGCAACAATAATTCAACAATTTCACAGCAACCCCAAGCATCCACATAGCATAGATCTAAATTTTTCAAATAGATAACCAAACGTGTCTGTTTCGGTCGATATTCTCGGCCACGCACACCACTAACAGCCAGGCAATTCTAAAATGTAATTTAGAAAATAAATTGATAAAAATGATGCAAACGCACAAACTCACACATACGCCTCTTACACACTATGAAGGCTAGCACTATTATGCATTAATAGTTTGGAATATTGCTTTTTCAGAATGTGTAGGAAGACAGCACTTAGTTTTAAATGAAATATATTGCAAGTAAATATTGGTTGTCGGCTGTGTGACTACCTCAAGTTGGGAGTTTTAGTGGAAGATAATTTAATTAATAAAATGTTTGGAATTTTTGTCAAGGAAAAAAAGAAAAATTGGGTTGTGTAGAAAAAAAATCGTATATGAAATATTCCATACTTATGGTTTTGAAAAAAAACTAACTTGTGGTTTTAAAAGTCCTTGAAAATAATATAATATTTTAATATTTATTTTCAAGGACTTTTAAAGAAAGAATATTTTAAAACGGTCCACACATCAAGTAGTACCTGATTTTTTTTTCCTTAAAAATCCACGCATCTGATAGTCTCTGATAGAATATTTTTTTTTAAATCCATTCATCTGGTAATCCTTGAAAGCTTATTCTTAAAAAATCCACTCTTCTTGTTGTGATAGTCTTTACAAAATATTCATAAAATATCCTCAACTGTGGTTCGGATAGTCTTTAAGCATTTTTTTGAAAATCCTAGCCATATCGTTGGGATAGTCATTTAACAAAATTCTTAAAAATCCAAGCCTGTAATTGTGAAAGTCTTAATAAAGCTATGAAATATATTTTAAAAAAAATAGGCTTTTGGTCCTAGAAAAATATTCATAAAAAATATAATCATTAAGGAAAGTATTAAAGTCGGACTGGGACGACTATATGATACCCTTAACCACTTTGGATATATTCTACATATGCATCCTAACAGACGTTGCTTTTTCGAAGGAAGATTGACATGACATAGAACGAACTTAAATATGTGATGTTTGTCTATATGTGAACATAAATCTTCACATATGCCACTTTGCAACCTATGCTATTCCGCAACCTATACTATTCTGCAACCTATGTTTATTCGGGCAGATTTAAATTTAATCTCAAACAGACACCCGTTCGAAATATATATGAAGGCTATGTCTGCATTTGCACGAATTTCAACAAAATGCAATAAAGTCTTTATAGTCTTGATACGTTGTGCAAAATTTCGTGTCAATCGGACAAACATAAAGAGTTTGGTGCACAATTTATATAAAAATCGGACGAAAATATATATGGGAGCCATATCTAAATCTGAATCGATTTCCATGAAACTGAGCACACATCATTGTATTATGATACGCCAAATTTCGTGCAAATCGAAAGATATATTGGGACTTTGGAGCACCATTTACACTAAATCGGACGAAAAAATATATGGGAGATATATCAAAATCTGGACCGATTTTCAGAAAACTTAACACACATCAATTTAGACCTAATTCAGTACGCTGTGCCATATTTCGAGCAAATCGAAATATATATATATATAAAGACTTTTGTGCACCATTTACATTAAATCGGACGAAACTATATATGTGAGTTATATCTAAATCTGAACCGAATTTCACAATACTTAACACACATCATTCTAGACTTAATTCAGCACGCTATGCCAAATATCGTGCAAATCGAGAGAAATATCGGTTCTTTGGTGCACTATTTATATTAAATCGGACGAAACTATATATGGTAGCTATAACTTAAACTGAACGGATTTTCACGAAACTTAACACACATAATTTTAGACTCAATTCAGTAAATGTATACATTATACAGGATCCATTTGATCCGATACATATTGACCGCTCTTTATCAAAACCGGCATGCTTATTCTTTGGCCCGATCCTCTTCTCTATGGAAAAATTCGCAATGTTTGGGCCATAATTGCGGCCTCAGACAAAAAGAAAGTTATTAGCAAATTTTAACCGATCTTTACCAAAAAAACAATAGGGGTCTTCATTGGCCAGAACCCATCCTACATGCAAAATTTCGTGAAGATTGATCCATATCTGTGGCCTGTATCACATGTCTAGATGAAGAGGTGGGTCTAGGACCAATATTTCGCGCGTTACAAACTCTTTGGGCTTGGGGCAACATATAAAAATCTATGTTTCTAAAATTGTAGTATTTCTTTAAGCCTTAAAAAAAGGTTTTGAGACTTAAAAAAACTATGTATTTTTTGAAATTTTAAAAAAAATCCAGGTCTTCTTTCATTTCAATTTTCAATTTTTTTTTCAATTTTTTCCTTTAAAAAAATATGTAAAATATTACAAGTTTTCTTTTGGTCATTGAAAAAATAATCTGTAAAAAAACCCACGCCTTCTTATGACGCATTAAAAAATATTTTAAAAAATTCCTCGCCTTTTTATGACGATTTAAAAAATATTTACAAAAAATGATCCTTAAATTCCACACTAAATGTTTAAGCTATAATAATAGTCTTTCCAAAAATGTATTCTCAAATGGAAATTTGAAATCATATTTCCTCCTCACCTGTTTAATACTGTGTATTATATATGACGGTGTTAATTGTGTCGAACAGTTAATAATAACCAAATCATAACCCGACATATCATCCACAGCATGTTCAATTAATAAAGTTTTGGCCGAACCAGGTGGTCCCACAATGAGAAATGGTGTTGTTGCGTTGGGTGCCTCTAAAAATCCCTTTAGCTGATGCAAATACATCTTCACTGCTGCTGTTTGTACCAACTCCCCAAAATCACTACTCTCGCCGGCTTCATAAATATCTACCGAATTTCTGGACTCATTGTAAAACATCAATTCGGCCTGATTTGGATTGGTTACATACAAATTAGCCTTTTCATAGAACCAATTGGCAAATTCATTATGACGTTCAGCCGGTAGAAATTCCATAGCCGCTTGACAGGCAGCCACTGTGAATGCATCACGATTTTGTATAGCAGCCGCCGCATAATCACCAAGTTTTAGCAATAAAGCACGTAACATCCAGGAGCGTGTTAGGCAAGGCAATGTTGAACTAAACATTAAAACAATAATAACAGAGAAGAATAAAGAACTTCATTGTAATGTGGATGTTTGATGGATGGATGGATGGAAGGATTGAATGATGGTATTGCATTCGAACTGTCCATTTACTGTTTGTTATATACTTACTGGCCATATTCCTTTTCCAACCATTCCATGGCTGGTTCGTAAAGCTCGTCCACATAACTTTGTAACAAATCACCAAACTCATATTTCGACAATTGATGTTCGACTATTGATTTTAGTGGATAATCCTCATTGCTGTAAGTAAACAAACAGTGGTGGAATGTTTGCACACCAGGAGGACAAGCGGTGGGTGCACACACAAAAATTAGTAAATATTTAGGAAAGGGTAGGAGGAAAATTGCATTTTCCACTTACTTCATATTAACAATGCCCATACGTGAAATGGTTGCCGGTGAAGCATTGCGAACATCATCCGTTTCGAAAATAAAATTCACATTATTGCCAAATTGAATGCGCCAGCCAGATGGTAATGTTAGTAATCTGCAAGTGCAAAGGGAAAGAGAGAAATGAAATGCTAGTTAAATAGTAAATATATGTGTGTGTTTGTGAGGCTGTATTATGTTGAATGTAATTGGAAGGTACAAAGCAAATGATTGGAAGTAATAATCCATGCAAAATCGATAGTACATTGATGTTGAAGGATTATAAGGAATTTTATTTTCCAAGGACTAACAATTCCACAAGCATGGAATTTATTATGTTCCTTATAAAATCCAAACTTGTTATATTCCTTAAAAAAATATTATTAAAGTACGCTATGCCAAATTTCGTGGAAATCGAAGGATATATAGGGACTTTGGTGCACCATTTACATAAAACCGGACGAAAATATATATGGGAGTTATATCTAAATCTGAACCGATTTTCATGAAACTTAACACACGTCGTTCTAGACTCAATTCAGTACGCTATACCAAATTTCGTGCCAATCGAAGGATATGAAGGGACTTTGGTGCACCATTTACCATATATCTAAATCTGAACCGATTTTCACGAAACTTAGCACACATCATTCTAGACTCATACTAGAGCTATATATAAATCTGAACCGATTTTTCCCAATTTCAATATGATTCGTCCTTGTGTCAAATAAATGAGCTGTTCCAAATTTCATCAAATTCGAATCAAAAATGCGTCCTGTATTTTGTTTACAATTTAACATGGACAGACAGACGGGCGGACGGGCATACATAAATCGACTCAGAAAGTGATTATATGCATATTCTCATAAGGAACCGTGGGTCTATCTCGTTTCTTTCTGCCTGTTGCAAACGTATGCACAAAGAAAAATCCTCGCACCTGATATACCTTTAAAAATATTCTTTAAAAATCCAAGAAAATATTTTAAAGGGGACAAGAAAATGGACCTAATTATTGAAACAAAATCGATAGTACATTTTTTTGTTGAAGGACTATAGGTAATATTTTTTAAGGACTGAAAGCCCCAAAAGCGTGGAGTTTATTAAAATAATAAACTTTCAAATGATATCCTCATTTCAAAATTTATATTAAAATCTCACTTTTCCTCTCTCTCTCTCTCCCTCTATTTCCAGCTGACGCCAGAAGAAGAAGCCCGCAACAAAATGATAATGCGCGAACGGGATCGTGAACGCAAACGAGTCAAACGTATGAATCCCGAATATCGTCGCATGGAACAGGAACGTGATCGTGATCGGAAAAAGGCACGTCGTTCGAATGAAGCATTTCGTCAGCTGGAAAAGTTACGTGATAAAATACGTAAGGAACGTAAAAAAGGTATTATTGTGGATGAGGCTGCATTGGCGCAGCAATTTAATTTGGTGCATCCAACACCAGTCGAACCAGAAGTGATTATATCCGATCCCTTACCAGCTGATCCGCAACAACAACAACAGCAGCAGCAACAACAAAATTCACAAAATACAAATCAACAGCAGCAACAATCACAACAACAGCAGCAGCAACAACATCATACACCACAACAGAGACGTCGCATACAGCATGCTGCCGCCAACAGTGGGAATCCCGGTAATGTCGTCAATATGTGTATAGGTACTACAAACAGTACAACAACAACAACCCTAACGAATGTCATCAATAACAATAACAACAATATGATTAATTTGGCAGCGGCGGCAGGTGGTGCCAATATGACAACGACAAACCCGACTGCCGCCCACATGTCCCAGCTGAACAAGGGTCTCTTGTATCCACCGCCAAACTTTCCCCATCATCCCTTGCCCATTCCCGGTGTAGCTTTAATGCCCTCATTGTGCCATCCAATATTACATCAAAATCTAAGTGCTTCTCTATATCCACAAAATGGTATTAAACAAGAATATGATAGTTCCGCCTCGCCCAACCACCACACAAGTAATGCCCACAACAACAATGGTCAGCAGCCGGGTTCCATAGGAACTGGCGGCGGCGGCAATAACAACGAGGAACATGAAATGCCCATGATCGAACCAGAAATAATATTGCAGACTTCATCGGATGTTATTTCAGCACCGCATCACTTTAACAATCATGCCCATGCCCATCATTTGCATCAACAGAATATGAATATGTTTTCGCATATGAGTCCACAGGCCCACATGGCAGCGGTGCATATGCGTGCCCATGCCTCGGCAGCAGCAGCATCGGGAAATATACCACCGCCATCGGCTAGTGCTTTGGCTGCGGTGGCAGCTGTAGCTGCCCACCACCAACAACAGCAGCAGCAACAACAACAGCAACAATCTCAGCAACATCCTGCATCACATGGGAATCCTATGCCACAGCAGCAACAACATCAGGCACAATAAATACATTGAGGTTCCAGACAATAGACAGTTGATCCACTCTCTATGCCCTTCCTCCCCAAAATACACACACACATACTATATTAAGTAACACATATACACGTGCATACATAAAGAAAGAAACAAAATTTATAATTTAGATATTTTTTAAGTAAAAGAGTTTTACATACACACACATGAAAAGATAAAAATGAAAATGAATGAAATTTTCAAGGATCTGTGTGTATTGCGTTTCAATGTTGTGGAAGTTTTTATTTTATTTTTTAAACAAAACTATTACGTATGCCAATAAGATTTTAGATGTTTAATATGTTTTTTTTACCATAGGAATTTTCGAAAGAAAAATGATGATAAATTGTAAAAAAAGCAAAACGAATCATTGATATATATATTTTTTTGCTATTCACCGTTCTTAAAAGATGTCTTTCTAAAAAGAGTAATTTTTAATCTCTTTTCATTACATTTTAGTATTTTCGATGCCTATGCAAAGCATTTAAAGTGCTGTTATATGTTTTAATTTTATTTTTTTATTTTCGGAAAATTTCACATTCATATAAATAAAAAAAGAAAAGAAAAAAAAACGAAATATTTCAATAATAATTTTCAAGTGTTTGGATTTGTTTCTTGATAATTAAGTATCAGGGACTTGGTGAATATTTAAATATGAAACGGAATCAGTGTTTGTTTATTGTTAATGTGCCCAGACCTCGGGTTCCGTTTTTAATACTTCAAAATATTCGACCAGTCCCCTAACCTGATATTATTTTTTTCCAGGCATAAACAACCTACTAGCACACAATGCAATAAAAAAATTCCCGATTTAAGCAATTTTAAATGTACACCAAATGATTGAGGTTATAAAAGGTTTGGCCGGGTCGAATTTATACTCATTTTTAATTGTATTTAATATATCATTGTATTTTGCCTTGCCGATCGTATCCTCATTATACCCTTCACCACACTGTGTTACAGGGTATTATGTTTGTAATAGTCTAAAGGAAACGTGCATCTAGTTCCTTTTGAGAATATGCATAGAATTACTTCTGAGTCGATTTATGCATGGCCGTCCTTCCGTCTGTTTGTCCATGTTAAATTGTAAACTAAGTATATGTCGCATTTATGATCCGAATTGGATGACCTAGAATAATGTGCGGTAAGTTTCTTGACAATCGGTTAAGATTTCGATATAGCTCCCATATATATTTTCGTCCAATTTTATGTAAATGGTGCACCAAAGACCCTATATATTTTTCGACTTTCACGAAATTTGGCATAGCGTTCTGAATTGAGTCTAGAATGATGTGTTTTAAGTTTCCTGAAAATAGGGTCAGATTAAGATATAGCTCCCATATAAATTTTCGTCCGATTTTATGTAAATGGCGTACCAATGCCTCTATATTCCTTTCGACTTGCACGAAATTTGGCATAGCGTACTGAATTGAGTCTAGAATGATGTGTGTTAAGTTTCGTGAAAATCGGCTCAGATTTAAATATAGCTCCCATATATATTTTCGTTCGATTTTATGTAAATAGTGTACCCAAGCCCCTAGAATACACCCACAGTGGTGAAGGGTTTTTAATTGTATTCAATATATCTTTATATTTTGCGTTGCGATCCTATCCACATTTTTACTTGTATTTAATATATGTTTATATTTTATCTTGCGAATTATTCAATAGTAATATCCGGATGCCCAATACGACATTAATTTATTATTTACATATTGTGTAAACATTATCAAGGTCATTTTTTAAATTTGTGTCAACCACATCTTGACATGTCGTTTTCATCGATTGATTTATAATGTGTTTTAATTTGTATTTTTTATTTGTTTGTAATTTCTGCGACAATCATTATTATTATACGCTATGGTATACAGTTGAGTATATTTTTTTCAGTTCGAAACATAACTAAATCATTATTTGTAAAAATTAAAAGAAGAAATTGGAATCAACACTTCTTTTCTTTTAGGTAAGTTGCTGTGCTTCGTAAAAAATCCATTTACCCGGGCCGGGAATCATAAAAAAATAAATCCTACCATATATTATTCATGTTATTTTTCCATTCACTATATGTCATATGATTGTTGTTGTGTAGAGTATCTCAGGGGTCACCAATCCCCCTTTCAGTAGAATCCCCGTTTTTACCAGTTTACAATGATTTAAATGATTTTAACAAGTTGTATATTGTTTTTTTTTTATATATTTTTTGCTTACAATACATTTATCTTTCCCCCACGTTATATATTCTGGCAATACATACAAGTCAGTTTTATTATATTTTTTTGTAATTAATGTCCTGCTTTGTTTTATTATGTGTAATTGTAACAATAACTGTTTTCGCAATTTTTTTTTTCATTTTATTATTTTGGTTTAAAGCACATAAATATTTTTGCTGACGCCTCCTGTTTCAGTGTTTTTTGGGGTCAACTCAATTCTATTTGATTTTTGTTTTTGCTCCCCCATATTTAACATGTGCAAGATTTAAATGCTTTAGTAATTAAATTCTATTAAGGGTACAACATTTAAATGTATATATAAATATTTTTTTGTGAATTTAATGAAATAAATGGCAAGGAAAAATTAAAGCAGTCTGGCACAGTTAAAAAGGACAATGTGTAATACACATTAGCGTTTGAAGGACGTACGTGTATATTCGTTTCGAAAGCCATAAATCTATAGAATATACCTTGTAAA